CTATTACATATATATATATATATATATATATATAAGAGAGAGAGAGAGAGCTAAACCCCAACAAAAACATCGCATTCAGAAAATCATCTCCTTTCTGCAAAAAGAGCGCGAAAGCATTTAATGTTACAATATTATTTTAACTATATTGCCCAAATAGTTCGTTGTCACTTTTGTCACTACCATCATCCTACTCTTCCCTCAATGATTTCTTCCTATAATTTTCCACCTTCGTGAACTGCATCCACATTGCCTGCAGGGTCATTGCCCTTCTGTGTGAATAACTCTGTACGAATATCTTTTGGCATTTTGCTCAAAACACGCGTTGCAAGATGAGATGAATGCAAGGCTTAGCTTATTTCTCTACCTACGACAATTAGGCATGCAAGTTGCGAAGTCAATGAATGACGGAATTAATGAATGCGCATTCTTACACACGCAGTGCTCTATCTCTATTATTGGGATTCACGGAGAAGAGTGAATGTGGGTCATTGAATAGCATCTGTGTGTACTGAATTGACAAAACATGCGAGAAGATGACATCGGATGACTTGGTCTTATCCCTATGTGATGGAGTTAAATTCGACCATGGTAAAGTGAGTGGAAAAGTTCCCAATACAGGTTTAATTAGACCATGTATGGAGGTACTTTAGCAACACAATATCGCGTTAGCTTGATGCAACAGTGTACGATTGTGCTGCCAAGTAGCATGAATGGACGCTTTTTCGCATAGTTGTTTTGGCAGAAATACAATTAGCACCCAAGTGGAGAGCGAGGGTGAGAGTGCCAGAGAAGCATAACTTACTATCGAGCCTTTACGTGTCACCTCTACTGACTACTTATAAGTAAAAGGTGCACAATCACGGTGATATTGAACACCTACCTCTATCTCCATCTCGTGAATGCGAAACGACTTGGGACGTGTAATGTGGCGAGCAATCACAAACGACTGGTCTAAACCAATTTCATGGATAAGCTAGCGTTGCCCATTCCTGATCTGCAAGCACGCCTCTACCACACAAGTATTTGATGCCTTCCTCCAACATACCTTTTCGATCCGAGGGTCAGGAATTGTAGTAAAAATAGAGAAATACTTAAATTATTGTGTACAGAAGGATTATGAATCTACAGACTTGGCCAGACAATCGCCTTGCTGAGCGGAATCACAACCCATAGGGACTGAAGAGTCCTATTCTTATATTATTTGTGCAGATAATGATGCATCACTATACATAATGCTGCAATATAAATGCTACCCTCATTGTGGTTGTGATAATTTGGCGTCCCTGTCGCATTGGTCTGATTTAATATTAATCATCCCAATTCGCCGATTATGACGACGTAAATACAGCACCCCGAGACAGCAGTGAAGCCTGCCAAGACTCCCCTCAAGACGAGTGAAGATGTCATGCTCGGGGAGAATATCGGTGCATTCGACACACAGTAGGGCCTGGTGTCACTGGCATGGCCCGGAGGCCATTTCCACTCAGCAAAGCTTCTCAACGCCGAAGACCCAAGGCGACGTCTCTTCTGAAACTGAGTTATACAGACACCGCGTCACAGTTGGGTGCACTGACTGGCTTCATTCTAGTACTAGTTCCTCTTATCCACATTTCGTGCTCTTTTCAGCACCATCCGCAGCAAATGGACAGGACGCCTCTGACAGAGCCCCTGTCTGCATCACGCCACGGCTCCAACTGTGTAAAACTTCGCAGTTTGAACACCCCATATCTGCATAACGAAAGTACGCAGCATAAATAGATAATCTGTTTTTTCTCATCAAAAAAGAAGAAAGAGTAACGGTTAGATTTCAGTGATGGTGGGAGGTGGAGAGATGAGGCGAGAGATTGGGGAAGAAGTAGGTTTAGATACATAAACGTGCGCAAACACGCAACACAGATGCCAATACAGAATGGTTGGAGAGAAGGAAGACAGTGGGATGCAGCGAGGAAGTACTTTGTACACGAAATCACCCACTCTCTCCCTCCTCACAACGGGTGGCGGAAATGTGGCGGAGAGAAGGGGAAACCCAGAGGCATCCTCATTCCCCCATTCTGGTAGTGCGGTGGAGGCAACAGCTGCGGCGCAGGCTGCATAGACGGCGGAGGTAGTGATGGCGGTGGTGGCGAAACCAATGCTCCACCCTCCGGCATCACTCGTCGTCGTTTCAACGCCATCATCAATTCTGTTTCTTGTTGTTGTTGTTGCTGCTGCTGCCGCTGCTGATGCTGTTGGAAAAACTTGGCCACTGTTGCTGCATCCACGGGACGAGGCATTTCCTGATGTTGTAGCAGTTTTCGAGCCGATGACATCGCCAGTCCCGCCATGTGAGGCGGAGGTGACCGCGTCAAGTCGATCGCAATGGGGTGGGGGGGCGGCAGTGGTGCCACAGTACAACTACCACCAACACCACCTGCACCACCAGCACTACTACCACCACCTCCTAACGCCGTTCGCATGAAATGCTCGTAGTTAGGGAAGCGCGGCAGTGTTTGGTGGTGCGACAAGTGTGGATGCGGGTGCGGGTGTGGATGTGGGGGTGCGGGTCGTTCGCGTGGCTTCGGTTGAGGCAGAGTGGCACTTGGTTCCACGTACCACCAAGGGTTCGTCGATGGGTTCACCGGCTTCAGACCGTGTGTCTTGTCCATCATGATATGGTAGCAGATTCGAAGGTGCGCCGTCGCACCGCGATTTGACAGCTTCCAAATAGAAGAAAGGGTGATAAATGAGCAGCAAATTTGTGCTGGAGGCGAAGAAAATGAAGGCGACGACAACTCACCATCCCATCGATACGAAAGAGATCGCGAAAACGTGGCAATTGATGAAGTCGTCGATTCGCAGATGAGGGTGGTTGAGGCTGTGGTTGATGAATTGCAGTAGCGATAGCGACCGCAGAGCGTTGGTGTGCCCAGAAGTGTGGAAAACTCAAGAGTGACTGTGGAATCGCGGGTCTTGCACACGCGGATCGTTTCATACTGCCAACCCCGTCGTTTCCTCCGCCGGCCATGGAAGTCAGGTCGACTGCATCCACCACTGGCGTCGCTCTGCGAGCGTGTGCTGCACTGCTGGATGGTGCAACGGGTGAGGAATGGAGATGTGGGCCCTGTTTGTTTAGACAAAGGCGGCACAAAAAGCGTCAACTTTCGCCACCGACTGAGACACTGAAGCGCAGTTTAACAGAGATTGATTACATCCATTTGAAAAGCATGCCATAGCGAGAGCACTGTCAGTAAATACGTCTAAAAATGAGCATTGCCGTCTAGCACGTTCTCAATAAGTGGATAGCAACCGACAACGAAACACCGTTGACACAGGCAAGGTTTGGTGTTCAAACTACGTGCTTCAGAACGCCACTTCAATTGACTCTCTTTAATTAATTGCAAAATAAAAACAGAGCCAACCATCAAACTACGCAGTTCAAAAGTGCAAAAAGGACAAGGATATCAACTTGGAAGTTGTTTTATGCTCAACGCACCACCACGAGGTAGGGGAAATCTGAAGCAGGCGGTTGGAGACGCGGAAGATGATGGTGACCACCCCATAGAGTGGACAGATGCGGTGAATTTGGCATGAAGGGGTGATGCGATAGTGAGGAATGAGGGACAGGAGGAGCCGACGTGCCTGCGTTGGAGATGGGAGGTGCGGGAAGAAATTGTCCTGTCGAAAGCGATAGCGCTTGTCCTTGGAAGACTGCAGTAAAGGAAGGGCAAACAAACTGGTGG